CCCAATCCTACTGGGAGAGGGAGGAGGGAACTCAGTGGTACTGGCAGCCCAGTATGTGATCTCCTGTCCCAGCCTGAGGAACAGTTAGTCTGTCTCCAAATAAGTAATGCTCCAAATGTTTACATGTGAATATTTTATGACTGTGTCTTTATTGTTAATTTTATTGTTATTTGCTTTGGCAACACTGATTGTACCCACCGGTCACGCCAATAAAGCACCTGGAATTGAGTTGGACGGAGAGGAGAGACAGGACAGGGGAGAGAGGTTCGAGAGGGGAGAGAAAGGAGAGAGGTGGGAGAGGCAGGAAGAGAAACTGTTTCTGATTTGGCAGCACTGATCTGCTGGTCATGCTGCATGAGCTGGAAAGGGAGAGGGGAGTGTGTGCAATATTTCCTGCGCTGCCAGCAGGCCTGACAGGCCGGCCCTATCGCACTGACACACACACCCCGACACACACACAGTGACAGGCTGACAGGCTGACAGACCAGCCCTATCGCACTGACCAGCACTTCCTGCCTGACTCACTGACTGACAGCTGCCCCGGGACACACCCACACCCACTCCCATCAGCCTTCACTCAGCGGTCAACTTCCTCATGGGCAGGCCCAGTGCGCACACACACTGACACACACTCACACACACATTGACACACAGTGACACACACATACTCTTACACACTGACTGTGCGTATCACAGTCAGATACACATGCACACTCAGACACACACACTTATACTCATGCAGACGTGCACACTGACACACTCTCACACTGACACACACACACACAGACTCTGTGTGGAGTCTCTCTCTGACAGTCCCAGACTCCAGCAGACCTGATACAGAACTCAGACACACTGACACACACTCACTGACATACTGATGCACTGATACACACAGTCTCTCTCTGACTGTCCCAGACTCCAGCAGACCTGACCCAGGTCACACACACACAGTCTCTCTCTGACTGTCCCAGACTCCAGCAAACCTGAGACAGCAGTCAGAGGCCACCTGCTGTCTGAACCATCATTCCTGCTGGGATAGACTCCCAGTGTCCCCACACTGACACTAACACACAGTACCTGCCCTGCTCACTCACTCTCACCATCTCTCTGACTGGCCAGCTCACTCATCACTGACCAAGAGCTAACTCATCCCTGACCATCTCCACTGACCTGAGAGCTAACTCATCCCTGACCATCTCCACTGACCGAGAGCTAACTCATCCCTCACCATCTCCACTGACCGAGAGCTAACTCATCCCTCACCATCTCCACTGACCGAGAGCTAACTCATCCCTGACCATCTCCACTGACCGAGAGCTAACTCATCCCTCACCATCTCCACTGACCGAGAGCT